CGCTCGTTGGCGCCTGATCCCACTACACCTTTCTAGTATACGCCGCCTTTTCCACTGCGTGGTGGCGGGTAAGTCGACGGGTCATTTCTTGTTTCCGTACTTTATTAACTGCATTTGTTTCTTTTCTGATACAAAATAGTGAACAAAAAATACTTTTATAAATAATTGAAAAAGTTTATATTTCGACAAAATAGCTTTTAGCGGCTCTGACCAGTAGTAAGCCCAGGACCTAAGATGTCAGCTTTCGTAAACTTTCGATACCGCGGGTCGCCCCGTAGGTGGAGGAGGTTTCCGCGTCATTCGGTTAAAATATGACGCGCGGATATTTAGTTACTCTCTCCATGCCCGTTGGCTTGCCCAAACCCCGAGGGACATGGAAACCGCAAAAAAGGTAGACGCTCGCCCCCTCCCCGCACGCGTCAAAATTACCTGCAAAGTGGGGGGAGGCCCGGCGCTATCCCGGAATATCACCAAAATTCAAGATGGCGACGACAAAATGTTTTTGCCAGAAAAAGAAAAAAAGCGCAGTGCACATGGATTTAATATTTTATTTATCTCTGAGAACATAGACTTTATTAGGCCAAAGATTTGTCACTGCTATATTAATCACTTTCAAAACCACCAAAACACTCCTCCGAGTCGGTCGCAAGAAAAAGTTTGCAGCATTCCGCAATGTTTCCCAACTGCATGCTGTTGGCTTTTTTGACAGCCTCTTCGGAAAGAAGCTGGTAGCTAATGGCTCATTCTGCACTTCTTTCGCGCTCCAGGTATTCACAGAGCACATTGTCCACGTATTCACTGAACACTGGCGTGCCGTGACTTAGCTTTCGTCAAAGTTTGGCTTTCCCATAGTTTGACTGTCACAAATTGTCAAAATTCTTGTCCCATTCCCGTACCCGGTCGAGCTTATCGTAGAATACGGTGCATCCGCCCATACCACATTAAGCGCCCATACCCAAATTTGTAAGATCTGAGAAAATATGCACGGTACATTAACATGTGGAATTGATGACTGGATAAGCGCCCATCCCCCATTTTTCTATGATTATCTCAAAATTTTGAGTGGGCGCTTGCCCGGTATTTCACGGTCATGTGTCGAGACATCTGGTGTACGTTTTTCCCGTTTTCACGATGCCATTGGATGACCTCAATTTTCTTTTCCACTGTGTAACAATGCATAGCCGAACTGACACCGCCAAAACAAAGCGACAATGGCGCTTGGCGATCGAGCTGCAAAGTAGGGTTGGATTGGTTTGGATTCTTGGAACTGGATTTCGCAGGCCAGTGTTCCCTGGGCGCGGTCGGCACGGTGCATGACACGGGTGCGGAGAAGGGAGGGGGCGCTTTCCCAAAACGGCGCGGAAATGTGAAATTAGCGGCGAAGTTGGGGGGGGGGGGGGGGGGGGGGGGCTCTTGCTGAGGTGGGGGCGCTTGCTCGGAATTTTACGGTATGTGTAATATTTTGTAAGTAGGGACCTTAACTATGCAGGATATAGGCCTTATCAACATATCCGACAAGGGAGAATGGCAGAGCAGCCCTCCAATTGCCTGTTCTTGCAGTGGTCCTGTGACAGTCCAAAGCATGTCGGCATAGGTCCGCGGCTACTTGGCGCGGCGTCCTTTGCGGACTGTTGGTCTAGGTAGCCCTTTGAGAGTTCCAATGTCCAACTTCCGGCTGCCATATTTGCCTTCATCTACTCTACACCTGTGCATTTTCACTGTGCGGACTATACGGAGAAGTGTGACTTATACAAAAGTTCAACTTATATAATGAACTTTTTGTGAAAACGGCCGTTGATAGGGGGATGGGACTTGTAGATTGTAAAGTATGCTACTGTGTACTGCATGAACCAGATTGATCAAGAACCCACTTCAAAATCAACCCTCGAAAATCAGTTTTGTGTGCTTCGAAAGTAGCAATGGTGCCATTGGCACCACGACATGTGGCGCTAATCAGGGACTCAAAACACGAGTAAAACCAAAAACCGTTCGGGAGCAAAAAATTTTCAGTAACCGTAACTGGAATGAAATCATTATTTGAAATTTGTGAAAACCGTAGCCGTAAATTATTTACTGTTAACCGGTATTAAGGGAAACATGAGCCTAAATTTCAAACTTATTGAAAAAATCATTTTTCAAATTTGAGGTTTTCGGGTTTAGAAACTAATTAAAATGCCCTTACACTAAATTTGATAACCATACTCCAAATAGTTACATTGATATAAAATATTTTCTACACATTGTGAGGCAGTAATGAAGTAAAAAAGTTCAATGTTTGAATGCATTTTTCTCAGTTCCACTTTTCGTGCCATATTTAATATAAAGGAATCTTGTTCAAAGGTAAAAATATTCTGATACCACAATCAAGCTGTTTCTGAACTGAAATTTATTGGGGAGTCGGGCTCTCTATTTTTTTTTTTGTTTTTAGTTGAAGTTCTCATAGAGGGACGACTATGTTTCCAAAAATTGACATAGGACAGATATGCATCTCATATTTTGAGGTAATCACTCTTCCTCAAATATTTACATTTGAGTCATAAAAACTAGATAGCCCGAAGTCCCACATCCCCCGCTTTATAGTCATTCAGTCGAAATGGTGCTTAGTAGCTTCATTTGCGTACCGTAGATTTCTTAACGATAAGTGACACATTTTATGCAGGTATATAAAATTGTCTTAGAAAGCTGAATGTTTGTACAATACACATACATCTGGTGTTAAATCTCCCCAGCAAATTTCATTCCGATGACTTGTGTAGTTCAGAAGTTGAATCTCTAGCCAGTGCTCCACCTTAACCAATATTATCCGAAAAATAAAAATATTAGTTTTTCTCAAGTATGACCTGGAGGAGGTATCTTGAAATGTTGTGGCCATCTGACAGAGTTACCGTTAGCGACTGGTGCAGCTGGTAACACAATTCCGTTCAATCTAAATTTAGGATTAAGAGTACTTAGTTAGAGTCAGTGGTTGAGCTTATAATGGAAAGACCATTTCTAAATCTAAAACACTTCCAATCGCTACATGTATTCTATATGTGTTGCCCTCGGGGTATTGACTAATAAGTCTGAATTCTGAGATGTTCATCCAACTCGGTTCTTTCAAAACTACCGAGTTCCTGACCTGCACTAGCCAGATACCAAGAAACGAGGTGAATTGACCATCATGCGGAGCTGGCGGAAAACAAAACCTGATATTAATTTTGTCCGAAACGCGTTGCGAGGGATAATTTTGGAACAACGCAGATAGAAAAAAAAAATATATCGTGTTCTACTTTGATGTTTTGTTAAAGTCAACGGCATATATACGGGGTGTTTCGGAAAACGCGGGACAAATCGCTCCTGCGAAAACTAAGCATCGCGCAGAAAAAAGGTTTATGCGTGCTGGTGTAAGAGCCCATTTAGAAGAAAAAACGCACGACAGGCTGCATGAGATCTTCCGCCGACGACTGTCGAGTGGCACGACGAGCACGAGGGGCTTTCGCTCCGTCGTTCGCATCTCTTTCGTTCGGGGCAGTACCAGAATGGTTCAGCTGGGAGGTGCATTTATTTTGTGAAAAATATCGTTGCAGGAGGTTGCCGTAATCCGGAAATACAAATACGAGCCAAACTTTTGTTAGGGACCAAAGTCGAGTTCAGGCTTTTTGCGTCAATGCCAAAGACTGTGGTGGTGGGCCTTGGGGACGAAACAGGAAAGAAAACTAATGAAAGCCGGCAGGTGCTTCTCTCATTTGTCCCATTTCCGGTTTTGTCCGATCAAATGCCTCAACAGCATGCAACAACATCTTTTTCTCCTTGATGTAAAAAGGATTTTGCCTTTATTGTTTCATAAAAAGAATACCGTATTTGCACGAATATAACGCGAGTTTTTTTTCCGAAATTCCGGGAATCGAGTTCAGCCACGAGGCGCGCGAGTCTGGTGAAAGCCAGAGGAGAAAGCCATCCCTCCGGCTCAATGCAAAATATCCGGTGGGAAAAGAAGTGGGGGTGTGGAAGGGAATTTATTAGCTGTTGGGCCACGTGGAGGGGCGAAGAGAAAACATAAAAAAGCATTTTTATCGCTTCTGCGTTTTTACAAGGCGCGCACGCCGCAGAAACTCAGCGCGCGCGCGCGCCATGCGGGATTGCCGGCACTGGCCAATTCGAGCCAAGCCAAGCTGGGCCAAGTCAAGTCAATACAAGCTAAGCCAAGACCACCAACCGCGTTTAGCAATCGTGCAACACGAGGCATTTGTTTATGCAGTGGGACCAGAACAAGAAGTGTGATCGTGTATCGGATTCAGCAGTCTTTTTTCTGCCTGCACATTGTTTAGTTTCTGCTCCAGAGTGGTCTGGTGTTAGTGCTTCTACTTCTTGCCTTGTCTGGATTGTGGGCTGCCGAGGAGCTCGCAGGGAAGGAAAAGGAACTACCAGACAAGCAGGTGCCGTGCTGCTGCTTATCTGCGTAGTCTGCCAAGCGGATTGTAAACGGAAAGACCTGAGCAGTGAGGATGAGTGCAGTCAAAACATAAACTGATATTTCTTCTATTTCCATGGACTTTTCACATCTGCTATGCCCCCGAGTGTGAGAAATTGACGCGGCCTCAGTTCGCGTTATAATAGTAATCATTTTTTTTCTCTTTTTGGGAGCATCAAAACCTGCCCTCGCGTTATATTCGTGGTCGCGTTATATTCGTGTAAATATGGTAGTTTTCATTTGTGGCTTCTTTTTGGGCAAATTTAAAAGAAATGCGCAATCTACTCGTACCTCCACAGTCGATTACAGCATCGTAAGTTGCGAAGCTTAGTTTTGCGATTTATTTAGAGTGGGATCAAATCATTTGGCCCGTGCACTGTATTGCATAAGGGCTATGTAAGAAATGAATGCTTTTTTTTAATGAAATTGGCAATTAAGTGTTAGCATATAGAGTATCAAAATTTTCAACTTGGTCTGACATGCAATGAGACGGCCTTGAGTTCAAACTCTCGACTGCACTGCTGATGACGATGCGTGCTCTTCTGTTCAGGCAACGAGAACCAAAGCATGTATCCCGAGCTGTGGGTTGGTTGCGACTGCGTGTTGTCCTACTCCGGCCGTTTCGAGCGATCTGATCGGCTCGCTCAACGTCTCCGTAGCTACCGGTGGGTCCCTCATCTTCCATGGGCTTGTGCCTGGCTAGCCTTTTTTTTTGTTGTGCCTGCCCCAGCTTTTATGCATACCTTGGCTCACGCGTGACTCTCCTTTTTTTGTTTCGCTGTTGTAGTGCAGTTTGCTCATACACCGGTAACAGATGGCGGCAGGAAAGGATCTGATCAAGGTACCACTGCAGTGAAGATATCCAGCGCATTCAGAGATGCGAACCAACTTAACCTAATTACGAAAATATTTCGAAAAATAGCCCACTTAAAATCGAGAGCAAATCGGGGGAAAATGAGGAATGCGCTAATGTTTGGAGTGCAATTGGGAAAAGTTGGGAGAATATGCTATTTTTAGATTATGTGTCCTTGCCAAACTTGTTATCGTGGCAAGGGGCAATGAAGCAAAGAAAACGGTGCTTCCCATTCGGCAATGTTCGCTTATATCCCGCCATAGCTGACTAGCCGAATTTATGCCGAGGCCATCATTGCTCCGAACATCATGATTGCTAGAAATAAGCTGTATTTCAATGTTTCAAAAAAAAAAAAAAAAAAGACTAGATCAAGCCAAAAACAAGGGACATGGTTATCTCTTGCGGGTGGGGCATCTCTTGGGATGTTATGGTAATCTCTTGCAATAGACGCTGGCCTCTTTTTTTCAGGACGCCAAACTCTCGAAATTACTTTCTTGGTGATTACTATGAATGTGCACATATTTGCTATATATATAGAGGCCTAGACAGTGGGAAGTTGGCCTGCCTTGAGATGGCGCTTGATGTTTTTGCCATAGCCAGTGCATCCCTACTTTTAACCTGGTGTTTTCAGTGTGCATATGTTAGACATTCGGTTAGTGTTATTTCACTTTTTCTTTTTACTGGGCTGCACTTAACTAACATACTCAGCCGCCAATCTTGCCCTACGAGTTTGACTTTGCTCGTGATAGTAAGTAAGTTGCCCGTTTTGTGCTGGGCAATAGTTATTTGAACTAAGTTAAACAAAAATTAAATTAGAAGCTCCGAAGAGCATGTAGCTTGGGTATGGTACCATTGGCTTTTTGCGCCTGTTGTGTAGGTAATACACTCTAAGCTCATTATAACAGACCTGGTCACAACAGACATTTGAATATAACATACCGATTTGTGAAGTTTGGTTGGTTTTCCATTGACTCAACTTCATATCTGCATACAACATACTCCTTTTACAACAGACCGAAATCTTGGTCAAAATGGAGGTCTGTTATAATGAGCTTAGACTGTATCAGGTGAGGGAGTGCAAACGATGTGCAGGTTGCATATATCTCTGCTCATGCTGCAGACTTTGAAGGTTTCAAGTTGCTCATTTTGCGTATCTTGATACAGGCGGGACTGTGCTAGAAAAATCAACCATAAGTGCTTTTAAAAGTAATTGGGTTTGGTGAAAATCTGCCTGACATTTCAAAACCGATTTGGTATTTTCATCAGGGGCGACTATTTGCTCATGGAGAGCAACTGCTTGTTTTCCATCCACGGTGGTGTCGTTTGCCCATTGACATATGCCGATGGTAAGGTGCGTGTCAACCTGTCGATATTTCCTGGCGTAGTCTGGATGTGCCAGGATTCTATGAGGAGTCGTTGGCGGATATTGGTTTCAACGCTGATTATTCCGGCGTTGTCAATATGGGTACGGTGGTTGTGCTCTGCGAGGGTACTAACCCGATCAAATTTTTGCCCATCATTTTTGTGTTGCAGAGTTCTTTGATGGAGGTTTTCTGTCTCGCCGTTGTAAGTGGCGGAGCATTGGGAACACGGAATTTGGTGTACGACCCCTCGTGCTTTTTCTTTAGGAGAGCGGTCTTTGGGGCGTGGCATCGGGCGCCCAAGCATCGATGCCGGCTTGTGGGCTGCCTGAAAACGTTCTTTTGCCAGCGTACGCGTGAATGCTTCGCTGGTCACCTTTATGTAAGGATCACGGATGTGGGTGTTCCGGCGGGACTGCGTACTACTTTAAGGCTGGAGGTTCCGATGACCACGGTTTTGGCGGTGGGCCACACGACCGATGAAGTTGCGCGTGTAGACATTCTTTTAGAGAGCAGTTCTTAGGCGCCCGTCACCGGCTTCAGCGGCGTCGCTGTCGCCGTTGGCGGAACCGCGCGTTGAATTATGGGAAAATTTTACCACTAAATTTAGCGAGAAAAGTTTCACAAAATTTTCCCGCCTTATTTTGGGGGAAAATTTTCCCGCTAAATTTAGCGGAAAACATTCTCTGCTATATTTAGTGGAAACATTTCTCCACTAAATGTAGCGGGACAATTTCCCCACTAAGTTTAGAGGGGGAAGAGTAGAGGATGGATGGGGGGATACCCTCCTTTCCTCCTCAAGAGGTGTGCTCTAATTTGGCATTACAGAGAATTGTAAACGTCTCATTTATTTATGTTGGCGATGCCTTTTTCTTTTTATTTTTCTGTCTCCGACGAGCAGATGTTCTTAGCTCTGGACAGGAGGGTTGCAGCCTTTGGGACTCGTAGTGCGGTAGGAGCCAAAGCGGAGGTAACGTCCAGTGTAGGTTGGTTTTCAGTATACTGCGAACGTCCGATCTTCTCCTGGTCGCTTGGCAAGCGCATCGTGGAATGCCGAGCTGCGGTCTTTTTCGCATTCTGCTGCGAACTGGATGGCCGGTTTGATGGAGTTTAGATGTTTCAGAAAGTTGCTAACCTCCGGCATTTTGACGATACCGAAGCAATCATCCACATAGCGCCCAAACACTTTGGGGTAGGTGCTGCTGAGTCGAAATTCCAGAAGGCGGCACAGTTCATCTACGTTGAGGCACATCCTTCCATGCGGGTCTCGCTCCTTCTCGGGGGCGTTTCGTACTCTGCTAAAGGCCAGGGCGACCGGAACGCTTGGTAAACAAACTTGTGACGCAAATACAGACGAAGCTATACGGGATCCTCGACGAAACCTTCAAAAACCATCCAGAATTGAGGAACCTCTACCTGCGGTTTATATGCAAAAATGGTTCTGCTCCTGGTTTTTACGGGCTCTCTAAAATCCATTAAACAAACGTTCCTCTCCGGCTTAGCGTAAACATCTTGACCTCACCACTTCGAGCAGTCTCCAACTACCTCCACCACCCTCTTTCCCCTCTCGTTGCAAAAACACCGACCTATGTGCGCAACGCTGGCCATTTCATGGAGCTTGTCTCTTCACTAAAAGTCACAACCGAGGAAAGTGAGACGTCGTCTTTTGACATCGTTTCGTTCCCAACCAGACAGATCTTTGTCAAATGTTTACTTTTAAATTTTAGATTGTCTAAACGTCTGCAATAATTTTAACATTAAAGGTCCCTGAAAAGGAAATTTTTTTTTAAACAGTGGCTAAGACAAGCATGTCAAAAAATAAATTTTATGCAAAAAAAAAAAAGAATTAAAGCAATATTGTTAACGAGAGATTTATTTCAAATTCTGCGCGTGAAGTCCATGACATCACGGGTCATTCTGGAAATACCATCTCGGTCGTGAAGGCGAAGGCGATTCACCATTCTTTCATGCGCCCGAAATGCCGAGAGAGACAACGAGTGGAAAGGAGGTGTCTGCCAACAAAATTGCATTTTGCACCGTCAAATTGCATTAAAAAAATGTTTTTTGCACAAAAATATTAATTTTTTTGACACGCGTGTTTCAACCGGACCTAAAAAGTGTTTTTCTTTTTTTTTAGGGACATGGCTGGAAAGGGTCAACTTTTATTTATTTATTTGAGGATAGTGCCGGTCAATTTTTGAGGACCAAGGCATAAGACAGCATCAGAAACCATCAATGAGTCGAATGAACACAAGAACAAATAACAAGTAGCTTAGTAATTGGTGACAGAAAACACAATTCATCAACTGCACTCACAAATAAAGTGGTAGAAGCAATCGCGGTCACACTTGGGGGCAACTCACTCCACTCACCAACAGGATAAGGAAAAAAGGAGTATTTAACAACATCTTTTCTACTGCAGAACTCGAGAAAAATACTTGCGCTTCAACCTTGTATCGCGACTCGCGTTATACTGCAAATAATCATCAAAATTTAAACCAGTCTTATTATGAGTTATATTGTGCAAAAATTTCAAACGCTTTACTTTCCTTCGACGTGATAATAAAGACACTCCGGAGGCGGTGTACAATGGTGACACGTGCAAATCTTTGCCGTATGCACAAATTGATTCAAACTTTCAGGATGAATTGAACCCCATTAGGCATCACCCGGCCCAAATGCACGTCACACGACACCGGACAACACTTATTCCCTTCACCCCTGAGCTGACATTTGTGGTGGAAGCTACGTGCTTGCCAGACCAATCAGCCGCCTCCCTTTCATCACCTGACCTCATTCTCTGCGCGTGGGTATGCGCGAGAGAGCGTGATCACGTGGCAAAAGTGTGGCTGGCCCAAGGTGCACGTAGCTTCCACAGCACTGTCAGCTTAGGGGTGAACGGGGTGGGGAAAGCAACTTTTGTCCGAGTTTTGAGCGACGGGCTAATTTTCTTAGGGGGAGAACGGCAGTGTCCAGGTACACAAACGGGGGTCCGAGCAAAAGGGGAGTTCCTCCTTTCCGTCTTCTTGAACTGTTTGGTACAGAGGAGGAAAGCTAAGAAGGAAAATGTTGGAAAATAGTTTCATGACCCCTTTAACAAGCTCCATAAAAGAGCTACTTTATTAGAAAATGTATTAAAAAAAATTGGAATCTACGAAATTTTTTTGTTTAATGTGAAGTAGAATATCCATAGTGCAAGTTAAGGTAAAAGTTAATTGTAGAAATTGCAATTCTAGAGAAAAACAATAACACCCAAAAAGAGCAAAAGATTTTAACCAATTTTTGCGTTATAAAATATTCAGTTTTTGTCACGAAGAATTTAGCTTTTTCCGATTATGAGTACCTTAACTTGTTCCTCAGGAAATTTCAGTCAAGGACGCCAGTGCATAGAATCTT